TTTTTTTTCTTCTTCATTTTGTTTCACAGTAATGCACTGGGAATGGTATGAGTCACATTTTTAGGTGCCACTATGTTAAGTAAATGATCAAAATATGACAACTAGACATACTTTATGAAATAGTATTTTATTTACATTTGAAGAACGTATATTTTTGATTTATCATGTTGGTTTTTTTAATTACTTTTAATGTTTTGAAAAAAGTATGGCTCTAGCGTATGAGGTAGTTTTGAAGGAGGGCGTAGAAAATAATAAAGGATGCTTGGAGAGCATCCTTTGGGGCTATATGTTTTAATTATAGCATTTCTTACAGTCCTTTTTTGTGAAACAATTTTTGTTTAGGAGTTAGCCAGTTGATCATCCAGCTGTTAATTATTTTTTTTTTTAATTGGTTTTAGGACTTCAGAAAATCAGTGAGTTATGAGGGAGTTGGCATTTAAGTGTATGTGCTGCAGTGGAGGATGTTACTTTAGTGCAGCATGGTGTTTCCACTGCCACTTCAGTCCTCTGTGCCACGTGTGCTCCCATACAAGAGCCACTTTCCATTTGGAAGCAGCCAGGAGCACATCCAGCTGTCTTCTAATGGAGTAAGGATTTGGTTAGAGGTTGGGGTGGGGCTGGGAAGGGATGTAGAACTAAAGTAGTTGAGAGAGGAGGAGAATGAGATCATAAAACAAGCTTTTTGGGGGGTTATGGTTGGCAAATGTGTCAGCATTAAAAACTGTGTCCAGCTGTTACACAGTTTAGCCTTATTCTGGTCTTCATTAGCTAGGACAGAAGTCTGTTTTGGCGATTCCAGCAGGTGTCTGACTTGTTTAAAAGGTACAGTGTAATCAGCACTTTTTCTCTTTTACACAATACTGAAGCTTGTGTTTTCTTAGTATTTTTTTTAGTTCTACAATTCTTGTTTGTTAGTTAATGGCTTCTTCTGGACCTAATGCAGCTCCAGTTTTCAGTTCTGAAAGGTAGGGTTGAAGTAGTCATGTTCTTCACTGCTTCTGGGAGTGCTGTGAACAACTAAAGGCATTTAGTTGTGCACAGACCTGGGAAAACACATCTGTTTTTTCGCAACTCTGATAGCAGACAAGAAAAAGAAAAGAAAAAAGGAAAAAAAAAACCCCAAACTTGTCTGGGTAAATCAGATGATAGAAAAGTGTGACTTACTCTCAGCAGCAAAGTTTTTCCTTGGTGTCAACAAAAGGGCATAGGTATTTTAAGGTATTTTTCATTTTAGGTTTCTCTTTATTATGACACTAAAAGGAAGGGCATGATCTTGTGAGAACTTGTATCCCTGTTCAGATGGTTTTAGGAGAATGTTATCGGCTTCTCAGCCTAATCTTGTGTTCTTCTGTTCTTCCAACTGAGATGTTACATTTAGGTGTGCGTGCCTTGTGTACTTCAATACAAAAAGCTCAATTTTATGTTAACTGCAGAAAATCTTACGAAAAGTTATGTAAATGAGTTCTGCTGTGCAGTAGTGTAGGAGTACATTCTGTGTATTTATTCAGGACCAATCTGAACATGATATCTAACATCTGAGATATCTAAGAGGATAGCAGGCTCCTGGCAGGCAATGGCTGATCTTGTCAGGTACCTCTACCCTTGATTTCATTTTTTAGGATGAAAAATACATAATCAGTTCAAAAGACACTTTCAGCATTATTTGAGATAGAGAAATTCCACAGACCTTTGTAAAATATTTTTTTTTCTACAAAACATTTTTTTAAGTCCACGTGATTGCCCGACGGCATCCAAAATCTGGAATGTGATGAAGTGTAGTGCCTTTAAAAAATCTGTTGGCAGAACAGTCCTGTGCTGCTGATTAGTAAAATGAAAGCGAATTAATTTCTTTAATTGTCATTGCTGCTATTTGGGAGGTTCTGCTGTTTGGGAACACAGCGAGGAAATTATTGAGATTGGGACTGGGCTTGTTGGATTTTTGTTCTTGCTTTCAATATCATCCTACAGAGCTGGAAGTTCATAATGGCGCTGGTACTAGGATAACATGTCTCATTTAGCAATCATACATTCATTTGTAGTTTAATCTGTATAAAACAAACATACCACTCTCGGGCTGTGGCTGCACTGTCATATTAAGTTGCTATGTGCCACTGCCAGAGTCTTTTCTGGAAAGGAGGCAGAGGAAGGTGTAGTTTTCACGTGCTTAAGGAGGCCCACTATACCAGGGCTGGCCACGCTGTTGTGTGAGACCTCCATTCTGGGGTTCAGTCCACGTGGCTTTAAGTGGTTGTGGAACAGCGCTAGCGAATGTGATGCATACTTTGTGTCACTTGGTATACTTGTGTTCTCTACACTCAAAATATTACTTTAAAATATTTCTGAAGATTCTGGATAGCTATCTTTGCAATATAAATCAGTGTGGATTTGTGTTCGTGCATGTGAAGATGACTTGAAACAAAATGCCAGAAATGTGGATTTATGTGCTTTATTTTTCATTTGGGCATCGAATGAAGACCGCTGCCAAAGATAGCTGTAAATTGATGCGAGGAACTAATATGAAGACAAAGTCAAGGAGAAATTAGAAGCAGAGGAGAGTAGATATGAGTAGGTGATGATAGAGAATGAAATGAGAGGACATAGTAATATTTTTTTCCAACTAAATACGTTTTTGCTCCAAACCCGCTGTGCTCTTTGCGGGGCTGGAAAAAACTGGCAGTCCAGTGAGTTATGTGCCGTGGGTACAGGTGAAGGGTTTATTTTCCTCAGAGTTGGGAAATAGTCCCATACTGCTGCTTGCTGTCAGCTTTCATGAGATGCGTGATGCGTGGATATTTCAGCTGATGTGCATCTGTGAGGGCACGCTTCAGTCTAACCCATTTTGACTAATGCATTTCAACTGAAAGGAGCTCTGTTATATTAAGCAGTATTATTACTAATCCTTGCTAGCACAAGTAATTTTGACTGGAAAAAAAAGTTCGGCAGGATGTGTTTTTTTGGCATATCAACTAGTAGGAGTGACAATCCCTGGCAGAAATGCTTGTGAACAGTCTGTGTGAGGGTTATCTTTTTCATTGGTGTGGCTCATTTTGGAAGGGAATGGCTGTCTACAGCCTGGCTGGGAGCTGGCCATCTTTATCCAACAAATACTTGAGTGAAATAACGAGTAATGCAGGTGTGAAGGGATGCGAATCCTGAAAGACACAACTGGGGATGCGCTAGTTATAGGTGCAGCTGTTCCGGAAAAACATTTTTTGTTGTATTTCTTTTATTTCTGAAAATGAGATTAACAGTTCAGCATAGAGTGCTTTAATATTCATTGACAAATGGGCTGTTTTAGGCATACTGAAGGTGGTTGTTTTTTGTTTGTTTGTTTTGCATTGTTTCTTCTCTTAGTAAGAAGCTCCTCTAGCAGGAGATGGATGAAAATGCTTGAGTGATGTGGTCATTTCAGAATAGTACTTGGATTGTTGTATCCTTTAGTACATAGTTTTGGAAGGAATAAGAAAACTGACTTGTAAGTAAAATTGCCCTTCTCCATAGCATATTTCTGTATGTAGGTACAGTGGGTGCCTTTTGGATTGACTTTAGAATCAAATTCCCTTCAAATTTTATCGTGTATTGTGAGCTAATAGCATCTGCATTGTAACTGAAATTAAATTTAAGGAGAAAAATATGCAAGTTATGTAAGCCCTGTTGTTACCAACACAGGTTGTAAGTGTTTATAGTATTGAGCTTTACATGTCATTTTCTCTTTTTTATTCTTAATATTCTCAGATTTCTCTGCTGGTTCTGAAATCACTCTGTGTACTTGCTTTTAATACAGACAAGTTTTGAGTGAACATTGTGAAGTTGTAAAGTGACTGTATTTATTATTAAATACTACATGAATCATCTGTGACTCAGTATTACTGTCCTCAGTGAGATGTGTCTGAAGTGCTGGTGATATTAAAGGTACTTAAGTGTATTAGAAAGCAAATACTCTCTTGAGGTAAGGTATTATAAGGTAAATGTTGCTGATATTTTAGCCTGGTTGAAGAGGGCTGTAGCTAAGTTTATATAGCCTGTCAGCTCTCTCTTCTGCTTGTACATCTAGCTCACTGCCTACCTCAGCCTTTCCAGTAGGTTTTCTTTCTGTTTTCCAAATCTTTTTAAAGATAAGGCAATTCTGGATAGCTCAGGAGAGTCAATTGCTGCACAAAAAAGATACCTTTTAGTGTTCTCTCCAAGAGGCACTTGCAGCATCTACTCAAGGGAAGGTATGCTTATTTGGTGTGTTGTGTGTCCAGTCAGCATGCCTGTCCGGAGCACTTGCCATCCAGTACCACGTGCAGCCAGTATTTATTGGAGAAGTGATACTGTTACAGGACTTGTTAAAGCAGTTTGTGGGGTGGTTTTTTTTTTTTTTTTTTTTTTTTTTTTTTTTTTGCTAAAGTACTGTATATAAATGTTCGTGTAGACACCTTTATTTCTCAAGCAGATTACCTGTAAAGCAGGGTTGAATCCCTCCTCACTCAACCCACTGAAGGCCAAAATGCTTCAAGTTTGGGTACAATTAGTCAGTTGCTGCACTGCTGGACCTTAGGTGTCTCGGTTCATTTCAGCCTGTCAGTTTGATCACCAAACAATATGTATTGTAGCATTTGTTCTGAGAGGCTTTCTGAAAAAAAAAAAAAAAAAAAAAAAAAAAAGTCTTCCTCTCCTGTGTGCCTGTGTAGCACATTGTGCTCTTGGCAGTGTGTGAGTTGATGGGCAGCTTGTCCTCTTGCCTGCCTTATCTGCATCCCCTGCGTGGGTCCAGCCGCCTGTGACCAGGCAGCATCCAAGTCCCTGGCTCTGTGCACTTTCTCTGATTCTCTGGCTGGCTACAAAAGTTGCGTTAATAGTAATAGAGGAGATGCAGCAAACAGTTCAGCAAGAAGAACAAGCAGGATGAGGCAGGGCTGCTACTGCTTTTGGTGAATCTCTGGCTTGTGTGAATTAACTTGTTAGACAGCTAAGTGTGTGTCTGCTGAGGTTCTGCATGTTTGCACAGTCTAGCTGTGAAGAATCTAGCTTAAAAAGTCTAGCTAAGAATCACGTGGATGATAAATTATTGAGTGGTGTTGCATGTAAATCCTTTCTGTGTTGCTCTTGTGATTTTTTTGCTGTGTAATCTTGGCGAGATGCTGAGAGTGATGCTGAGCACAAGGAGAGCGAATGCAGACTAACATGGTTCTGGAGTCTGTAGCCTCTCCTTCATAAACTGAAGTGACAGATGGCAACAGTTGTATATTTTGAGGCTGTTCTGTGGCACAGATATGGGTGAAGCTTTAGGAAAGGTGTTTGAGTAGTGTTTTCTGGCAATTAAAAAAAAATTAATTATGGATTATATTTCAACTTCTGGAGAAAGTATTCCAGTCTTATGGATTTTGTTATCGTTGGTTTTTTTCCTCTCTGAATTCAGAGAGGATGCAGCCTCAGAGAAGTTGTGTGATTGTATGTGATGCTGGAAGACTGTGGTTGCATACAAAACTAAGTTACTGCTCATTGCACAAAAACAAAGAGATTTATGTGCTTAAAGGTATAAGACAAGTTGCATTAAAAGTATCAAGATAAACAGATAAGCAGTGACACAAAAAGAAAAGAAATGATACAAAGCCAGAATTGCTTCATTTGGCAGTAATTTTGGAAGTTCTACATCTTTTTTTATGGTGTGGAATGGTTTTGATCCTGGTTAGAACAGCTCTTGACACTCCAATGGCAGGAATCCTGGAAATATGCCTAAAAACAAGGTTTAATCCTCCACGTGTTCTAGTTTTGATCATTGTAACCTAACTTCTGCTCTTTGACCAGTTCCTCCTTTGTGCTGAAGTCCTGGTATTTATGAAAGCATGCCCACCTGACTTGCTCAATTGTTATGAGGAGCTCAGAGAAAATCCTTCATGTTACTTTGCTTGCTACATTATATCCAAGTTTGACACAATAACACTTGCAATCGGGGCAGCCTGTCAGCCTGTCACCACCAAGGTCAGGAAGTCCATCAGTTCACCTCGGGTCTGTACTTCCCACTGAGGAGTGGGAAGTTGCTCATGGGAAAGGTGTGCTAATCAGGCTGCAGGTGTCACAGCGATGGGTCTAAAGCCATTGCTGTAGTTTGCCATGGGAGAAAATGTGCTGTTTAAGTAGTGAAGTAGGCTGTATGGCTGTTTATTTTGCGAGAGCAGATGGATGCTTCTCTCAGCATGGACGGGGAGTGAAAGCAAAATAAGAGATTAGCAGCAAGACTGTTCATTTTACACTGTCACAAAATGATGGATTCAACTACAGCTGTTGAAGTTCATCATTTCTGGGCTGTCCACCTCACTGTGCTCCTCACCGTTACAAGCACAGTGTACTTTCTTGTGTTGCTGTAGTTCGTGGTTGAGGTGTATTAAAGGAATCTTAGTTTAACTGGCCATAGTTGCGAACTGCAGCCACCGGTATATTCTTGAGGAAAAGAAGCTGCCACAAGGCTTGTCCCCCTGACCAGAAGGTGGGTGGCCACCTCAGCCACTGATGCTGAGCCAAGTGAATTGCCAAAATGAGTCTGTTTAAACAACTGAAAGGCAGTTGCAAAAAGTTGTTTGACACAGCTGTCTGGTCTCAAAGCTGACTTTGTTTTCCTCTGGCAATATTTTACCTTGAAGATACAAGAATTCTAGGAGCAGACAAGTGATTACCCAGCTGGAAAGCAAGCAAAGCTTTGTTATCCCCACACCATACAGTATCTTTTGTGTTTGTAATTCCTCACCTGAAATACGTCACTGAAGTTTAGATTTGATAATGTTGCAGCAGGAATGACCAGAATTACTCACTGGCTCCACAAAACATGAAAATGGCTTAAAATACTTAAGTAGCTCTTTCTTAATGTTTAGAAATACTGGTTTTTGCTACCTGTTTCTAAGTTTCTATTTTTATCTTTTCTGCAGTTCTTGTTGTCTGTATAAAATCTTCCACATTGTAGAACTTGAACATAGATTCACTACACAGAGGGATAAATTCAATTTTACTTTTTATTATTTACAGTATTAAAATTTTCGAAGCCATGGGAGTAAAGGTCCAGAGACCTCGTTGCTTTTTCGACATAGCCATCAACAATGTACCTGGTAAGAAAATGACAACAGTCAATTCAATAATGGCATATTCCTGTAAAATGTTTAAGAATAATACAAATACTAGTTAACTTCACAACAAATATGCCTTTTTCTCCTAGCTGGAAGAGTGGTCTTTGAACTATTTTCAGATGTGTGTCCAAAGACATGTGAGAATTTTCGCTGCCTTTGCACAGGTTTGTAGATTTTAATATTATTTATAATTTCAAATGTAATACCATGTTTGCTAATTCAACATCTGTGTTAACGTTTTCCGACATGCTGAGGTGTAAAACTAAGTACATCAAACACTAGTTCTTGATATCTCTGGAGATTTAGCAAACTTCTCATATATATCTGATGCAGAATCAAAGCAGTTGTAGTTTTTGGCTTAAGATGTTGCAGAGAGCATGTACTAATCAACTTTAAATGCTGGCACGGTAAGCTGATTTTCTTTTACTTGCACAGATACTACTGTTCACATTGTATAACATCATCCATCTTAAAAGGTAGCCAATAAGAGGTCAGGCATGGAGGATTACCCTTTGGTTTTACTATACTTGTGTATGTTTGAAGGCTGTTGCTGGTATACATTAATATTTTGCTTCACAAAGTAGTTTTGTTGGATGCTGGTGATTTCCAGTCCTAGTGAAATTCAAGTTATTTGTTGAAGAAATTATTTAAGAAGATTCTTTCCTAGAAGCATTTCCAAGTAGAATTATTTCTCAGTGCTCTGCCTGTTGTGGTTGGAAATGCTCACAGCTTTGCAGAACTTGAATATTATCACAGGAATGATTCTGTGAATACCTAAATCCATGTTTAATGTCGTCAGCATTTTCCACCTGCTTTTCTTTCAGTTTGTTGTCTTTCAAGTCAGTGCTTCACAGCTGTTAATACTGAATCACTTAGTACTAATACGGTCTGAATCAGGTGTGAGCGCATAATTGCGTTCATGTCAAGTTAGCTTTGTGCAGCATTCATGAGCATTATCTCATCTAGGGATTCTGGTTCAGAATCGGGTTATCAAAAATTGCTAACCAATTTGAAATTTAAAGTGATTCTTCTTATTCGATGGTAATGTGTTTTCATGTGTCCATGGCATTCTTTATTTTCTGTCAAATGTCCAAAAGTCAGATTTACTGCACAAGGTGTTATTCTCTGAAAACTGATTTAGATTTTTCACTTGAAGTCTTTGAACAGCACTTCAGGTCAGAAACGTAGCTCCTTGTTTAGTTTAAAATAAAATCAGATTTAAAATCGGGCTGCTGCAAAAGACTATGCTGCTTTTAAATATTTAAGAATGGTGAAGAAAGTATTTTGGAGAACTATTTATGATATTGATCGTAAACATTTTAAATTTTAATTTTATTTATGCTGGCCTTTTTTCTGGTGGTTTTGAAAAAGACATGCTATCTTCTTGAAAAATGGGTCAGCACCTGTTTTTACTGGCACGTCTGTTAGGTGTATGACAGGCCAGCACAGTACACAGCCACACATTTATCAAAGTTCCTATCAGAAGTGTTTATTGTAACTAGTCAGATCCATGTGGAGGCATCAGGTAAGTTCAGTGGCAACTGCCAGTTTCACAGCTCGGAATGAGATTGCGGGAAGATACAGTCTAATGGTCTGGGAGCAGTGAAAGGAAGAATCCTTTATCTTTCAGGATGGTCCCTGCTCCTTACTCTTGTGCTTTACTGTTACCTTGACGTTGGCTTTGACATTCACAAGGCCCCCACCATGAGCCATTCATTTGGCTATCTCAGCAGAGACCTTATTTGTTTGAAGGCGGGAGCAAAAGTAGATAGTGTTTTGCTGAGGCAGAGGACTTGCTTAGGAGTCTGAAGAGCATTAGATCTGATTTAGGGGAGGAGACTGGGAGTTGGAATCATGAGTTGGGAAGGTAACAAATTCCTTTAAAATCATTTCTCGTTCCCTCCTCATTCTTTTTTTTTTTTTTTTTTTTTCCCCATTTTATTTTTTGTCTATGAGCTTTTATGCTACGTTAGTCCTGTAACCGAAGATCTGAGTATCTCATTTGCTTCTGAGCAAGGATGGTTATGTTAATCTGGCTGTTTAATTTCTGTCAATCAATATAGGAGTCTTCTTAGCAGTAACAGTAATATATTGTATCCTTACATGTTTAAGCCTCTCCAGGTAGGTGGCATTCTGCATTATCTGTGTGAGCTCTAATTTGATTCTCTGAGAATTCATTGTGCTATGACTGTATGTGATGCTGGGCTGGCAAAAAAAAAAGCTGTTATTATGTTGTATGCTAATGTAAGTAACGATTTCTTTTAGTATAACTGTAGAAATAAAAAGTAGTTTCTGCGTTGCTTTCTTACTGGCATTACAAGTATGTATCCACAAATTAATCTTTCAGAGCTTTGTAGATAGCTTTGATTAAGCATTTAAATGGAGATTGTACGGATACAAAGAGTCATTTTGTTTTTTGTTCCCCTTCCTCTCCTTTAGGTGAAAAGGGTACAGGAAAATCCACCCAAAAGCCATTGCATTACAAAAGTTGTCTATTTCACAGGGTAGTGAAAGATTTTATGATCCAAGGCGGTGACTTCAGTGAAGGTATGATGAGAATCTTTCAAGAAAAATTTAATGCTTATGCAATCGAATGTTTTGGGAGTCCTACGTAGCATCATCAATTTACATTAATTATGCAATTTAACTGCTTTTTAAACTACTTTTGGCGTAAGAAACTTTGTGTAAACTTGTGTAACAAAATGACGTAAATTTATATGCATGTATTCTGCTCTGTGACTTCATGTCTCAGAGCATTAAGTACTTAATTGCAAGTTATAAATATGAAGATAAAATATATCTGCTGCTGAGAAGAAAAAAGGCAGCATATAACAGAATATGTAGGAAAACTTCAGTTTTTCTCCAAGTTTGTTTCTGCTTAATGGTACTATGAAGATATCTTGATCTTTGCATATCTTGAAGAATAACGTTAGTGACTTGAACACAGCTATATTTTGCATTATGAAGCATCTTTCACTGATGCAACTTTTTACACTATTATAGGTTTTAATTCATGTTTTTTTCTTTCAAGGAAATGGCAGGGGAGGAGAATCCATTTATGGTGGCTTTTTTGAAGGTGAGAATTGTATCAGTCTGCTCTATTTTGTTGATACTGTAAGCAGTTATCTGTACATTCTATACAATTGCTTTCATATGTCAGCTTTACCAGATTCGCAGTTCTAGAAAAATTTTTCAGCACAGTTTCTGAACGTATCTTCTGCTTCAGTAGCTGGCTAAAAGTTGGGGATTGCCTTTCTTCCAGTCAGAAGGAGAAAACTTGACTCTATTATGCCTTTCTTGCAAATCTTACCTTTGTGAGACAGTATAAAACCCTGCTTTTCTGAACCAAGAGGAATTAAGTATGAGGAAGCCATCCATTTTCTCACAGTACTGGTTCTCCTTCAATCATTGATGCATAAGAATTTTTCTCTCCAGTGTGCCTCTCAGACTGTGTTTGTCAGGAGTGTACTGGAGTAACTCTGTTTCTGGGAGCAGTTTTGTATTACACCTAAGCCTACATGATGGCTAGCCACCACTGGCAGGGCAGGTTATCCTTCCTGCCACTTTTAATGTTGGACCTCGTCTGAGCTTACAGCAAGACATCAAAAGAATGATTCACTGTAGAGGCTGGCTGCAGTTTTGTATCAGACATTGTGTTGAATGAACAGTTTGCAATTGACAGAAGGAGGAGGTCATACCTTGCATTGGCCCTCATTTGGATCAAACTGCAAACTGACTGCATGCTAGAATGTCTGAAAACTGTTAAAGCAAGAAATGTACTTGTTTCCCTATTGGTGAGTGGATTTCATTTCATAGATAGGCAAGAATGAGAGCCAGAAAAAGTGAGAGAGGTGGGAGAAGAGGACTTCTACTTTCTGGCAGTTGCAAGGTGTCTTTTCAACCTGGTCACAGTGTAAAATTGAATCTCTAGAAAGTATTGCTTGTGTGTGGCATCCTTAACCAGCTCACTGTAGGATTAGATACTCAGTGCCACACAATACTGCAGTTATATAGGTGACCATATAGACTAAGTGGGACTGTCCCTGTTACTGGCTGTTATGCTGTATGATGGGAAACCAGAACCTTACAGATTACATACTTTTCGTTTTTGTTAATGTTGGCTCCTGCCCTTTGTATTCAAGGAGTACTGAGCAAACTTCATCTGTATAGTTTGGATCCCCAAGCAACTGTTAGGCTGTTTTGTGGTAGGAGGAAGATAGGCTGCTTTCTTACAGGTGTCTTAAATGAGGAATGGTGATTACTTCATATGATTTCATTGAATTTAATCTAAACTGTTGAAGTGATGTGCTTATTAGAAGTAAAAGCTTCACTCAAGTGGAATTTATTTTCTTAATGACTGGCTTATTAAGATCATTTGTGTAGATGACAGAGAAACAGAACCATTTTGTTATTGCTATCAAACTGACTATCCTTGTGTACTAAGCAATACAAAATAAAATACTTTCTGGTAGAAACAGGGTTTCTTAATAGTGCTTTGCAACTGAAAACCTTTTTTTTTTTTTACTCCAAAGACGTAGTGACCAGCATGTGATGAATAAAAAGAACTCATTATTTTCAGTTGTTGCTCTATTAATGTTGGTAGCAAGAAAAATAAATCTCTTATAAGAAAATTCTGTTTTCCATTTTTAGTTTTTCCCAGACTATAAGCTATTAATTCTTACTTCCCTTTCTTAAATTACACTATTTAGAATAAAAAGAATAATGTATATGAAAAAATAGCTTTTGTCTTGTATTGAGTTTTAATGTAACTTTTTACAGATGTGACTAGTAAATTTATTTAATGTGAATGAGTTTACTTAGAGTAGAGCATTCATCTAAGCATATGCAGTATATAAAGTATATAAAGTGATTGAAAATGCTTGTTTCAGATGAAAGCTTTGCTGTAAAGCACAACAAAGAATTTCTTCTTTCAATGGCCAACCGAGGAAAGGATACAAATGGTTCACAGTTCTTTATGTAAGTATTGAACTGTTCTGAAATGTGTGATTTGCTGTTTTGTAAGCTGTAGACTATTTTTTGAGTTTGCATGGGAGGTGGTCTACGACATATAAAAGTTGATGCCTCTTTAGGAAGTTACGTGGTGTACGGGAACTGCTGAGTCACGGCCTGAACCTCTGATTGATCACCTGAGGCAAGCCATGAGTCAGCCAGAGGAGCACAGGTGAAGGCAATTCAGCTGTGCTGCCGGAAGGGGTGGAGCAAGGCTGCACCCCTCCTAGACCTATTTAAGAGCTGGCTACCAGAGGGGAAGGATCTCTTCTGGAGATCTCCTCTAGTGGTGTTTTGTGGGTGAGCCCAGAATAAGGGCTTTCTCTTTTGTTGTCATAGTCTGCCTAACTCTCTTGTTTATTTTGTGATTATAACATCCTAATATTCTTTGATTATACACATGGAAATAGCCATTTTCCTGCTGAGCTCTTTAGGGAGAGGTTTTATCACTCTGCTGTTCAGTGTTTATTGTCTGTGCAAAAGACCTTTTGGTCCTCTTTTAGTAACTGTCTTCTAACTCAAGCAACAGCATAAGTCTGTTAGTTCCCTTTAGAGCTTTTCCACTTTTTTTCTAGTATATGTTGTCTGGAAAGAAGCAAAAAAGTTCCAGGGGTCCTCTAGCTGAAAGTAACAGAAAAATTTTCTGTCTCTAGATAAATTCTCAATGCAGTCTCATTTATAGCTATATCTAAAGCTTAAAACTCTGAAATGCATCTGCATTACATGCTTCTATAGAAGTAAATACTTGAAATTCATCAGTTTTATCTATGTCACATTACCATTTTTAATATGGTAAGTTGTGCTTGTGATTTATCATTAAACCGTTATTTTGGAATATTTGGGTGATTGTTACTGTATTTGGCTCAGGTTTTGGTTTTTTTTTTTTTGTTTGTTTGTTTTTTGTTTTTTTGCTATGCCTGACATATGTGTACCTTAGTAATTCTAATACAGGGGAAGGCTATCAACTGTTCAGTTATCTGTAGGTGTAGAGAGTCAGTTCTACTTCTGATGTCAAATACTCTGTACATACAGTTTTTTTTTTCCTTTGCTAATTTATTTTCCTGTAAGTTTGTTGTTGCTTTTTTTTTTTTTTTTTTTTTTTTTTCCTCCACTTTTCCTCTTCTGAGGCAGTTGCCTTAATTTTTATTTCTGTTCCTGGTAGTATTCCTGTAATTTAAGAAATACAATTCTTAATACTTTTTTTAATGAGGATGCATCTAAAAATTTATCACAACTTGTTCAATTGTGGTAAGGGATTGAATAGATGGTTTGTATAAATCATACAATGTTTTTAACTGCATACAAACTTAGAATAACATTTATTTGGTTGTATTAAATTTTATTAATTCAGTAACTTTCATCATTTGCATACATGCTTCAAATGCTGTCTGCTTTCCACTAAAATTGATTCTTGTTTTCCTCTTTAAATTACACCTACTGGAAACAACAGAACTACTAAACCTACACCTCACTTAGATGGGTAAGTATCTGTTACTTTCTTATACTTTTGGGGGGATCTGCCTTAAAAATTAAATATTAGAATTCTTACTTTTGCTTAAATTCTTCAGACATCATGTTGTTTTTGGACAAGTCATCTCAGGTCAAGAAGTTGTGAGAGAAATAGAAAACCAGAAAACAGATGCGTCTAGTAAACCATATGCTGAAGTACGCATACTGAGTTGTGGAGAGTTGATTCCAAAATCCAAAGGTATGCTTTAACTGTACATCTAGGTATATGTGAACTGTGCTATTGTATTACTAATTTTCTTCCTGTTGGTAGACACTGAAATAATTAGAGACGTTCTTGATAATGTTATGGAGGTACAATCAGAAAAGAATTAAGTAACGCTGAAAAAGCATAGCTGGTTTTGGTGCAGAGGATCTTTTCTCTGCTAGGTCAGCCTTAGTACAAAACTGGTAAGCACTTGTCCTAAAAAAGAGGTTAAGTGCAGTAACAGTCTATCTTCAGTAACTGTGTCTTTTTATGAATTGAATTGAAGTTCCAGGTAAGTCTCCAGAGCAGGCATGGAGAGTAGGAAAGCCTGAAGTTTCCCTTTAGCACATATCCTTGTTAAATAGCTATAAACTGTATTCATAAGCTAGAATGGGACAGAAGCTCTTTGCTCTGCCATTCCAGAGTTGAACATGGTATCGGAGTCTGGATTCTGGTTCTCTTAAAAAATAAGGGTCAATCTAAGATTCTGCTGTCACTAGAAAAATCTCAGTAAATGAGATTCATGATACATCTTTAGTAGGAATTCTTATAAGGATTGTCATCATTTTTCTTTCTCAGCACCTTCTGCTGATAAGTACTGTGAAGGGTTGCACTAAGGATTTTAAGGCATGAGGCAAGGCTAATTGTATCTTTGGCCTAAAGAAAATGCAAGCATTCAAATTTGAGCTTCTTGGTTGTTTTGTTTTCCTTATAGTAGTTCTCTGGTTACCTGTTGTGGAATCGATGTGTGTTCTGAAGTGATGTTTTGAATCTCTCAGAATTCCAAGTAGTGGCTTATGACTTCTTAAAAGCTCTGCAACTTCTTAAATTAACCCATGAGTTGTCCTTTATGTCAGAACATTGTTTTTATATTTTTGGACAAAATAGTGCTGTATCAGTTGGAAAATGAAGAGGTAGGACTACAAATGTAGTATGGGTGGAGCTAGTGGGTGAGATACTCACGCTCTGTCTTGGTTAGCCAAACTTTTTCTTAAGACATTCAAAAAATCTTGAAGTTGAATAGACTAAATGGAAGTCATAGTTTCAATTGCACAGGCTTCCAGCTGTTAGAGAGGCTTTTAAAGAATTCATCAAAAGCACAGGGGAAAAAAGTGCATTTTTTTCCTTTAGCTTTTCTGGAGAGATCTGACTGGTCCTACCGGTTTGTCTGCGTGGTTGTACCTCTTTGTCTTGGTACTGCTAGGATCCTGGAGGCTCTGCTCCCTGCAGCTGGTCTGGTGTGCCATGGAGAGAGATTGCTGCCAGAGTGATAGGGGAAGGCCCCTCAACTGACCATAAGGCACAGTACTAAATAACTGGGCAGCAGGAGTATTTGGGAATCAGCAAGGCTTAGCCCTGCCCTCTGTCTTTGCAGTCTTAGTGCTTGAGTGCAGGGAGGAGTATGGGCATTAATGAGGAGCCTGATGAAGGTGCTACTTTGCAGAATGCTTGAGATTGGAAAATCCCTCTATTGAAAGGCAAAGGCTTTCTGTAGGATCTACAAAGGGAAGTCCACCACTACTGAAAGAACTGGATGGTATGTCTGTAATTGTTTGCTAAATGCATAATATGAAGCAACTGAGCCTGAGGTAGCAGAAATTGAAGGAAGTGTTTGCCCTGATACCTATGAGTATAAGGAAGAAGCCAGATGAAAGCAGCAGTTTTTGGGAGGTGAGTAGCACCATGGAAGATGGTCAATTGAATCATCTAGCTGTGAAAGAAAGTATTTGTAGCACATTACAGCAGTAGCAGGCAAAAATGAACTGATGCTCTGAAACATGAAGAAGTTACCAGAAGAGTTGGCTTTTGGGAATTTGTTATCTAGGGCAAAGGAACAAGGAGATTGACAATAAGGGAAGTATAATGGTGATGAATTTATGTGGGTTATGCTATGATAGCTAAGGGGGCTTAAATTAAGATCTGTTTTATAGGCTTGTCTGATATGCAACATAAAGGAATTGGGCAAGTCTGTATGGAGGGAAAACTGCACTGATGTTTCTTGAGTTTCTTGGGAAGCCAGGATGGCACTACTAGGAGGAATCACAGTAGAAGCTAGGTGTGTGATTTGGATGTTCTTTGGAAGTTGAGGAAAGATTTTGTGCTATTGTCATGAGTATTGGAATGAAGCGTATTATGAAGGAAGCAAACAGAAGCGTTCATAGAAAAGAACTGGATCAGTTTAGGGATGATAAGATGATCATCATTGAGTTAACTTACTGGACGCTATGTGAATTGAGTAATTAAAGATCACAGTTGAATTACAGTATTGCAGAGGCTTAGAACAGAAGCTTTCTCTTGGTATTAGAGGTTGATTGACTAGAAAAGTGGGATGCTTGTAGGCTTTTTCCTATTTTTATTATTTGAAGTGTAAAGGTGTGTTAGTGAAACTGAACGAGGAAAAACTAAATTATAGAAGAAGAATCTCTTTGGCCAAGTGGTACTTTAAAAAAATCTTAAAATATAACAGAAACAAAAAAGCCACAACAAACTTAAAGAAACCTACTGATGTGTCCGTGTTTTCTAAGGTCATTACAGATTAGATGAGCTACTATGGTAACAAAAATGGCTTGCAAGTTGGACAGTATTTGTTAGGAGCTTTTAATGAAGATTTTTCATGGAAAAACGACATTTTTTTAGAGGATTCTGCAGACTACATTGCAATGTTTGTTTCATGATCTTCACTGATGTTGAAGACATCTCTATAGAATCACTGCTGGTAAACATGTGTCTTCTGCAGTTTAAAAGGATTATAGCTGCTTTCCTCATTCAGCAGAGGACAGTTTTGTAATTTAATTGTTCTATCACTTCAGTTAGCACCTTTATTTTTCCCCGTAAAAATTAGGAATTGGTGATGCAGAGTTATGCAATGAATCATGGATTGTCAATGAAAAACATTTAGAAAGCAGTGATTCTGATAAATCATGTTTGTCTGGACTTCTGTTTTATCTCCTCCTTTGCTGCTTTTCTTGTCCCTCCAACCCCTAGGTACTCACTTCTTCCATAAGCTCTTTGCATAGCATTGGCATGCCTCTTTCTACCAGCTGGTTGCTCTTAACTGTTGTAGCTTCACAGTTTTCTATTTTGTGGATTCATTTATTTTTTTTTTAAGTGAACTGACCATTGGGTACAAACTGTGTTTTGGTTTTGACAGGTTCAAAATGAAGCTACAGATTGAAGCTGTGAATTATGAGATGAGATTATCTGTTCTGACCTTTGTGCCTGTGACTGTTTCTGGCCAGGTCATTTGTTTGTTTCAGTCCAGGAGTCTGATACTACATGTCTAACTTAAGAGTTGCTACACTTCATAACAAACTGAAATGTGGGGAGTGCTAGGTTGTATTGTGCAGTGTGATCATGTAATTCATGAAGTGTGGGGAATATATGTCACCGTGAATGGAGTAGGAAGTAAGGCATCTATTTCAGATGTGACCATAAGCTGAAACCTAATCCTGAAGTTAATGATCTGGAACAGTTGAACTGTAAATAGAAGTCTGTTTCTTTCTCACTTCGTGACCTTCATGCTGCAGGAGTGGCTTTGTTTGTTGTTTTGATCTTTAGTTGGCCAGAACCACACTGGTTCTGTATTCAAAAACTGGTTCTGTATTCAAAATAGTATTTGCTCGTGGACAGAGTGAGTGAGTTGTCATCAGAGAGTACATAGGTTGCTTCTACGTGGAGATAGTGCCTCCTATTTATTTTCTGAACTGTGCTGGCTTTAATGTCCATTAGGGACCATAACTGTCTCTATACAGTTGGCATAGTACATTTCCACTTAATTTTCTACTCGAAAGCGTATCCAGTTACATCCAACATGCAAGAGACAACGTGAAGTTCCTACAGCACGTGGTTTATCAAAAAGAACCTACCTGAACCACAACTAGAATCTTGTTTTGGTTGGCCAACTATGGATCTGTCCTTGCTGATTTTATAATGTTAGTCCAAATGAGAATTACTGTTTCCCATGAAAAGTTGGTGGGAAGTGCTAGCCTGTTACTACAAATAATGCATAGTAAGGCAGAAATTCATTTACTGTTTTTATTTTTACCAACTGAACAATAGATTTAATGCAATTTTTGTTGCTTTTGATCATCTCTGAGAAATTGCTGCCTTCCGAGTTGTTGTTCTGGAAAAATGAGGTTAAGTTGTCAAATTGGAGACTTTCTATACTGCAGTCATGTGATTGATGTTACTGCTGCCTCTCTCAAGTGTCAGTCAACATGATAATAACTGCACAGCAGCTGGAGATACTAATATTGATAATTCCAAAAATCAGTGTGCTGTTCCATGAAATAGATGCTTGGTTTTTCCAAAGGGCAGTTTCCACATCTACTCTTCATAGAAGGTTCTTCAAGTGAGTGTTACTAGTTTTTTTTAATCTTCAGATCTCCATCCTGCTTATGTAGAAACCATTGCTTTTTCTGTGTGTAATTGTTTAATGGTGAAGATTCTTTTTTTTTCAGTTATTCTGATATTGTGTTGTATGGTTAGCAATAGTCTTTGCAATTTATAGGAGCCATGTCAAGTAAGATTTGATACCAATCAAAAAATTTAGCTATGATTATACAGAAACAACCAGTGTGCCCTACTGGAGCTTTCAATAGAACTTTTAATTTTGTGGCTAATAGCTTGATAGGAATTTCTTAAAGCGTTAGAGAGTATCCATGCCGTTTAATTAATTTACCTGAAGTGTGTAGTGGTTAAGTAGATCTGAGTTCCATTACAGGGCATAAAAAGATACGTGCTGTGTTACTTCCTGTTGGACTGCCGTCAGATTGATAATAAATTTCTGATTTACAGCTTCAGTTGATACACGAGAAATGGTGATGTACGTAATTGAGGACTAGCCTGCTCTTTAGCAAGGTTCTTTTTCATACCAGATGGTTAGTAAGTGGTTTGTATCTTTGTGTAGGAAAACACTATGAGCTGCGGGAGTAGGGCTGTTCTCTGAGCAGTTTCACATAGTAGCAAAACTCGTACTCTGAGTCTACCCTCTGTTGGGCTAACTTCAAAGGACTTAGTGTAAAGTATATTTTCTTTTTGTAAACTTGTCTCATTTGTGGTTTGAGCATCTTTTACATGATGTCAGATTACATCGAAAGTCAAATAATTTTATAAATGTTTACAAAATTAATTTTTAAGAATACTGCATATAAAGCTTATGTTACATAAAATGTCATCGCAAAACATACGCAGTTATACTAATTCTTGACAGCACATATTTAGTGCTTTAGATCTTCTTTATGAAAACACAATATTTTTAATTCCTTACATATTTAGAGACCTGTACTGTATTTTACTTGGGGGAAACAGTCTTTTTACCCAAAACCTTTTGTTAGAGTATTTTGGTGAAGTGCTTTCATGACACAATTATAAGCATCTTAGGAAATTCCGAGATAAGTTTGCTTTTCTGTGGTGAATTAAAACTGTCTGATATGTAAATATATGTCTTTATTGTTCTGACTTGAAGCCAAGAAAGAAGACAAGAAAAGGCACAAGTCGTCTTCCTCATCCAGCGACTCAGAAAGTTCAAGTGATTCAGAATCATCTTCTGATTCGTCATCGGATTCTGAGAGTGCTTCAGAAGAGAAATCTAAAAAGCGAAAAAAGAAACACAAGAAAAATTCCAAGAAACATAAGAAGGAAAAGAAAAAGAGAAAGAAAAGCAAGAAAAGGTCAGTATTGAGGGTTGTTTTTTGTTTTTTGCTTTTTCTAACATATTCCTGTGCAGTATTGTTTTCCTATCCTGTAACAACACAAAGTACAATTCTGTAACTGGGAAAGTAGATACATGGAAATTTTGGAGGCTGTTTTCGTATATGACCTTACTTTTTCTGACTTGATGACAAAGTGCAATATCTATGTGCATATGTACTGCAGCTTGTACAGGAATGAAGAAAATAGACTAAGAATTTCATATATTGGATTTGAAAAATTGCAGGAATGTTTGGTTTTAAATAAGTTGTGATAATTCTGTAGAGTTCAGTTTCAGTTGTGTGCCATGGGATTCCTGTGCTACACAGAAGCGTAAGCAGAACTAAACAAAAAAATTAGATGAATACAGATGAATATAAGTACACCATTAGTTCTGATGTGCCCAAAGTTTTGCAGTGTCACTAGAATGTGATACAACTCAAAAAGTTCTTATTTCTGAAAGTGGTGTTTCTAATCTTCTATAATCTGTAGTCAGTGCAGGTCACATTTTTCCAAACTAATGGTAAAGTGTAAGAAACACTCATTTAGGGCCTAAGCTTTCTTTCTGTGGAATTAAGTCTATTTCACAGAAATCGATTATACCAACTACTTGGGAGTTAAAAT